AATAAATCACCCCAGCAATTCACTAAATTTTTTGGAATAAGTGTGTTAAAAATAATAAATCGAAAAGCTCTATATATAAACTCGACGAACCCTAATCCAAAACCTCCTCACTTGTACTCTCCCTCGCTCAACAGAAAAGACAGGAAAACCTCAAGGAGCGGCGGCCGCTGTCTCTCAGGTTCTCCTTTTGATCTAAACCTACTTGATTTGGTTCATATTCACTGAGATTTAGTTTTGTTGTTCACTCAGATTTAGTTTTGTTGTTGAAGCTGTCAGATTTTTTTAGCATTCATTTTGCAAAACCGCTTTTTAGTTTTTCTAGTTCCTCATTCATTGTATCAATCTTCTGTTCGTTATCGCCTGTATCAAGCTTCTTCTATTAGGATTCTGTTGAGAAAAATCTCTCTGATCTTCAATTATTAATATCTGAAGGAAAATAAAGGTTGTATTCGATACTTTGTGTTTGTAAGAACAGAACATGTACTTTAGGTTCTGCGTCTTGATTCAGTGTTTACGTCTCTGTCATTGCTATTAAAATCCTAGAAACAATCCAGAAAAAGGAGCTGGTGGACTGAAATGGGTTTTCTTTTTAACACGAGCTTTGCATCTTAGAGAACTCAACTAGACTCCAAATTGATATGCTTTTTGAAGAACTTCAAAAATGTTAAGGGTTTTGATGGCTTATTATTGTCACATCACCACGTATGAAGTGGGTTTTTGTTATTGAAAGGTATATCAGAAATGATTAGTCTGCTTTTCTAATCATGTTATGGAGTTTACACCCACACACAGTGTCACGTAAAGGAAAGTAGTCTCTCTTTGTGTTTTATGCCTGCTTATATTTCAAATATCCCCAGTCAGATTGCATTGAAAGATGGTGAGAGTGAGTGTCTTGAATGATGCACTGAAGAGCATGTATAATGCTGAGAAGAGGGGCAAACGTCAGGTCATGATTAGGCCTTCCTCAAAAGTCATCATCAAGTTTCTTCTGGTCATGCAGAAGCACGGTAGGACTACATTTTCTTTTATGTGATCATTTCTTTATCACTTAATTGCTTCATTTATGGATTTCATTTTTTGGTGGTGTTTACAGGATACATTGGCGAATTTGAGTATGTTGATGACCATAGGTCTGGAAAGATTGTGGTGGAGCTGAATGGAAGGCTCAACAAATGCGGGGTGATCAGCCCTAGGTTTGATGTCGGTGTCAAGGAAATTGAGCCTTGGACTGCAAGGCTGCTCCCATCAAGACAGGTACATTGGTGATAAATTGATCATATCGTGACAAGTTCACTTTTTTGCTTTGAAATGTCTCATGTATGTTATTAGTGGGAGCAGTTGACAGCTTGTTCCATCTTAATTAAATGTCAATTTTTGTATGGAAATGTGTAATTCAGGGCCGTTTGTTCAAATTCAGGTCGACTATCATGAGATGTTGTTAATATGTGATCTTAATTGAGGATTTGGTGCTCGTTGAACTTTAAAATCGTTAAACATAACATCTAAATTGGTGGATATGTTGATTTTCCTGCCCACTCGGTTAAGTTTTCTTAAAAGTAGGCATGTCAGCAAATTTCTTGCCTTTTTTGGTTCTACAATAGCCATACTTTATGCTGACCAAACTCTATTGAAATCAAGACTATTGGGTCCGAAGAATAAAACTTTTGAACTTGCTGAAAGAACTGTATGGGGTGCAATTTGCAGGGACAACTTCCTGGAATATTGTTTTGATTTTATACTTAAATTAAATTTGATTTGATTACACTGTGAATTGATTTTGTTTTTATCTGCAACTGGACTTTAGCTAAGTATTTTTGGGCCTGATGTCATCCTTTTAATACCCTTTGCAGTTTGGCTACATTGTGCTGACAACATCTGCTGGGATTATGGATCATGAAGAAGCTCGTAGGAAGAATGTTGGAGGGAAAGTACTCGGGTTCTTTTACTAAGCATGGCTTCTTTGATAATCATAGTCGTGTAGTGGACGTTTTTTGTTTTTCATTTAATTTTCAAGATGTTATTGAATCTATTGTTGACGCGTGGTGGGAGACCCTCTTCGTTTTTTCCCAACCTCTAAAATGTGCTTTGGGATTTTAGAGGATTTTGACTGTCACAAATATGCTGCTTATCTACTTGTTGAGACAATCATCCAGTTTTATGGCCCAAATTTCATTTTATTTACTTTCTTCTTTGTGTTGATGGGTCTAGTTTTCATTTTTATTTGGTAGGGAAGTATTTTATTCATGATAAAGTCAAGTTTCAGTGTAGTACACGGGTGTGGGTGTTTTACCAATGTAATATGAAATTGAAAAATAAATAAATATGGAGATAATGCCTCTTATGAAAATAAGGTAAGAGAAATTGGAATGGGAACCAAGTCTTGGTTGAAATTTTAATCTAAAAAAATTAAATTTTTAATATTTTTTTATTTTCGATTTTTTTTTCACTTTTTATTTTAAGTTTTCCTGTTGGGCTCGGAATTAGCAATCGGTAGGGATGTAAATGGGTCAGATCGGGTACGGTTTTGGTAAGCCCGAACCTGACCCGCATGTAATTCACTCTACCAAAACCCGACCCGTTACCCGATTAGTGATCTTTGGGTTCGGGTTGGGTTTTATCCGACGGATTAGTGGGTTTTCATCGGATAAATGGATAACCCGAGTCTTAAATTTGGGCTCTACCCGATCCATCTCGTTTTATATGAAAAAATAAAATAAAATAATTTCACAATTAATTATAATGTACCAAATAATTTATTAACTAAGTTTGACAATAAAAAATTATATTATTTTTGGAATATATAACTAGATATAGTTATTTATCTTTGATAGTCTATTTAATAATATAACATTTAAAAATTAAGTATTTAATTTTTTTATCGTACAATTAACAAAAAATGATAATAAAATCATAAAAAATAAAATAAAAAATTAAAATTATAATAGATAATTTAATTTTTAAAAATAACACATGACTACTTTTATATTTATAATAAGTTATAAATATTTATAAATGTATGTATATATATAAGATTCAATGGTTGCGGGTAAACGGGTAGGGCAATTGGGACGGGTAACGGGTTTTCCTACTATACCCGCACTCGCCCCGACCCGGGGTTCGGGTAGCATAATTCTACCCGAACCCGACCCGAAACCCAATCATCTCGGGTTTACCCAATCTGAAAATGCGGGTAGCCCGTGGGTAACCTGACCCTACGGGTTTTATTGACATCCCTAGCAATTGGCATGGAATCTAATAGGTTGTACAAACGAAATCACCTATTAGATTTCATAAGCACATTAAACATAGGTAATTTTTTTTTCACCTCAATATATACATGTATTTTATTTTATACATTGTGTCATAATTTTTTTTCCACCCCAATACTTACAAAAGTATGCGATATAATATCGCATATCAAACGAACGCATAATAAACAACTATGTGAGATTTTTTTATATACTAACTTTATCCAAATCATACGCATAGTTAACAGTTATACGAAACACATTTGCATTTGTTTGTCGCATATTCAAATTCACCGCATAATTTACTTATGCAAATTTATTTCGCATATCTCAATTGATAGCAGCATATTTTACGATTATGGAGCACGTTTTCGCATATTTTACGTCTCGCATATCCAAATTGATAGCTGCATATTTTACGATTATGCGACACATTTTCGTATATTTTGTGTCTTCGCATATCCTAATCAGACACATAGTTAACAAGTATGCGGAACACTTGCACACATTATGTAATCGTGAATCCAAATCGAGCGTCGCATATTTTATTTTATGCGATGTAATTTCGCACAATTTCCGACTCGCATATCCAAATCCACCACATAATTTATCATATTCGATAACTTTTCGCATATTCTGTTATCGCATATGCAAATCGAATGTCACGTCTTTTATTTTATGTGACGTAATTTCGCATAGTGTACAACTCACATATCCAAATCTACCGCATAATTTGCCATATTCGATAACTCTTCGTATATTCTGTTGTCGCATATCCCAAACGAACGTCGCATATTTTATGTTACGCGACGTAATTTCGCATAGTTTACGACTGGCATATCCAAATCTACCACATAATTTACCATATGCGATAATTTTTTGCATATTCTGTTTTAGCATATACAAATCGAATGTCACATATTTTATGTTATGCGACGTATTTTGGCATACTGTACAACTCGCATATCAAAATCTGCCGCATAATTTAGCATATGCAACAACTTTTTGCATATTATGTTGTCGCATATCCAAATAGAATGTCACATATTTTATGTTATGTGATGTATTTTCGTATAGTGTACAAGTCGCATATCTAAATCCACCGCATAATTTACTACTACGATAACTTTTTGCATATTCTGTTATCGTATATCCCAAACGAACGTCTCATATTTTATGTTATGTGACGTATTTTCACATAGTTTAACACTCATATCTAAATCCACCGCATAATTTACCATATGCGAGACCTTTTCGCATATTCTTTTATCGCATATCCAAATTGAACTGCACATATTTTATGTTATATGCCATATTTTCGCATAGTGTACAACTCGTATATCTAAATTTACCGCATAATTTACCATATGCGATAACTTATTGAATATTCTGTTATCGCATATCCAAATCAAACGTCTCATATTTTATGTCACGCTACGTATTTTCGCATAGTGTACGACTCGATATCTAAATCCACTGCATAATTTACAACATGGGATAACTTTTCAAATATTCCGTTATCGCATATCCAAATCGAACGTCGCATCTTTTATGTTATGTGATGTAATTTCGCACAGTTTACGACTCGCAATATCCAAATCCACCGCATAACTTACCATATTCGATAACTTTTCACATATTCTGTTATTGCTTGCATATTTTACTTTATGTCGATCGCCCGATAGTCACGTATCGAAACTGCTAATCCTACGACCGTCGATCGCTCTGCAGAATATGAAACTCTGATAAGAAAAACTCGTAAAACAACTGAAGACAGTGAAACCACCGCCTAAAGGGTCTAGTTTCACCATCCAAACTGGTCATATCTTGCAGGTCTGAAGAACATACGTCCCGTCCTCAAAAGGCGATTATTAGAAATATTATAAAATATTTTTCTCGATTTAAATAGATTATATAAGGAACTGAATATTACTATAAAATAGTAAAATATAAAGAAAATACTTAAATACTTTTACATTTCAATGGGGATACCATCAGGGCCCATTGCTTTACCCTCCCTTCATCCTCTTCATAGACTCTCCGATCTCTGCCTCCCGAATTCTCCTCACCAAGCGTCTATTGGTATCCTCAAATGAGACATCCAACTCCAGGGTAGGATCCTCACTCTCCCCATTAAACAATTTATCTAAGTACTTTCACCATCTGTCCTTGATCTCCCCATCCTTCACCAGTGGCCGATCCGACCCATCCTTGATGCACCTTGTCTTCCTCTCCCGAATTCTAGCCATCCAATAAATGTCCTTCTCCCCCTCCTTCGTGCCTAGGCGCTGGTAAAGGTCATCATAGGCCTGACCCTTTGCTACACTCGCGGCACGCTTTGCAGCCCTTCTCGCTATTTTATAGATCTCAATGTTGGTTGCACTCTTGTCAACATGGAGACGCTTGAAACACTCCTTCTTCTCCTGAATAGCCCTTTGCACCTCGTCATTCCACCACCAAGTGTCCTTCTCTTCCTGCTTGCCTCCCTTACTCACACCAAGTACTTCTGCAGCCACCTTCCGTACACATGTTGCCATATTTAGCCACATGTCATCTGCATCTTCTCCTTCTTCCCAAGACCCCTCGTCTAGTATCCTATCCCTAAACGTCTGTGCTGCTTCCCCTTTAAGCTTCCACCACTTCGTTCTCACGGTCTTGGCACGTTTGTCCCGGTGGACACGTATTCGGAATCGAAAATCCGCCACCACCAGCTTATGCTGGAGGACAACACACTCCTCAGGTATCACCTTGCAATCTACGCAAGCGCGTCTATCCTCCCTTCTTGCAAGGATAAAGTCGATCTGACTTGAGCATCGTCCACTATGGAAGGTCACCAGGTGAGATTCCCTTTTCCTAAAGAGGGTGTTCGCTATCAACAAGTCGTAGGCCATCGCAAAGTCCAACACACCCTCCCCCTCTTCGTCCCTACTACCGTACCCAAACTCTCCGTGCACTCTCTCGAAACCTACATTAGTCGCACCCACATGGTCGTTTGGGTCTCCTCCTACAAAGAGCTTCTCGCTGGCAGGCACCGTACGAACCAAGGTATCCAGATCCTCCCAGAATTGCCTTTTTGCGCTCTCACTAAAACCTACCTGAGGGGCATAGGCACTAATCACATTTATGGTCAAATCCCAACTACCAATTGGATTAGGATAATCCGGTCGCCTTACCTCCTAACATCTACAACTCCATCCTTAAGGCTCCTATCGATCAAGATGCCTACACCATTCCTACTCGATGAAGCCCCAGTGAATCAAAGCTTGAAGCCAGTATCCTTCACCTCCTTCGCCTTCTATCCCTTCCGTTTATTAATGTATATTCATATACATAATCTTATATTAACAATATAAATTATTTTAATTTTTTATTATATAAATATTAATATATTTAGGTAGTTAGTAAATATGGGTTGTTAAAAATTTGAGAACAGATTGGTTAGTAAATGCAAGTTGGACGAACGGAATCACCTACTCCAGCCTACCAAATCAAAATACCTAACCAACTTTTTCTTTCCTACTTATTATATTCTCTTTTCAACTACACGCAGGCATAAAAGTATCCTCTACTCAATCATAATGTTATTGCGAGTTCATAAATATGTGAAACAGGTTTTGATTAAATACGAATGAAAAGTAAAACCGAGTTATGAACAGCTTTTTGCGGGGTCTTCAAATTTCCAATCAAATATTGTCCGTTATCCATCATAATCCTCATTCGTTACCTATGACTCTATCAATCCGTAATCCCATTTTCCTGCTTTTCTATCCCTCCACCCCAAATTCCCCCAAAGCAATACCAATTTTGCCGGTATCCCTCTGTTATGTGTAGATCGAAAATGGCGATTCAAGCTTCCGAGCCCGCTCGTAACCCGAATTCGAGCCCAAGATCCGCCCCAAACAGACACTCCACAAAAACCCCCAATTCCCAAACACAGAAACCATCCTCTTCCTCTTCACAGTCCAACACGCAGCCAGCGCCTCTCTCTGACCCGTTCCGCAGCCGCTCCTCAGCCACATCCTCCTCGTCGTCGTCCTCCTACCGGCTGGACACCTCCGTCGCTACCAATTCCGTCGCCAGCCGCGCCTCCCTGTCCAGCCTCCGCGACACCCTCCCAGAGAGCACGCAAATCTACGACTTCTCCGAGATCCGCGCCGCCACCAATAACTTCCTCGCGAAGCGCCTCTCCGCCTCCTCCCAGTCGTGGCGTTGTTCCCTCAACGGCAAGGACGCCGCCGTCTTCCAGAGGAAGCTCCGGAAATCCGTGTCCGAATCGGACGTCCTGCAGAAGCTCGCCGTCATCAGCCGGAGTCACTTCACGAGCATCGTGAAGCTCCTCGGCGTCTCGATCTCCGGCGAGCACATCTACCTCGCCTATGAATTCGTCCGCGGGTCGGATCTGGAGTCGTGCCTGCGGAACAAACTGAACCCTAATTTCACGGTTCTCTCCAATTGGATGTCTCGCATTCAGATCGCGACCGATGTGGCCCACGGCCTCGACTACATCCACAGCACGGCGGGGCTGGGCATCGACATGGTCCACAAGCACGTCAAGAGCAGCGGCATCCTCGTGGCGGACCCATCGCTCAACGCCCGGATCTGCCACTTCGGGGCCGCGGAGCTCTGCGGCGAGACGGAGGGGGGCGGGGCGGAGCTCGACGGGGTGAGGGGGTACATGTCGCCGGAGTTCAGGGTCAGCGGACTGGCCACGCAGAAATCGGACGTGTACGCGTTCGGGGTGGTGATTCTGGAACTGATGACCGGACAGGAGCCGGTGAGGTACAGGTTCGACCGGAGCAGCGGGAATCAGAGGCTGATCTCGGTGATTGAGACAGCAAGGGAGGCGGTGGGCGGTGGGGAACGAGAGGAGCAGACGGCGGCGGTGGAGGGAAGGTTGAGGCGGTGGGTGGATAAGAGGCTGGGGGATTCGTTTCCGGTGGAGGTGGCGGAGAGGATGGTGCGGGTGGCGCTGCAGTGCGTGCAGGAAGATCCGGATAAACGACCCGAAATGAAATGGGTCGCGGGTAAGATATCCAAGCTTTATTTGGCGTCTAAGGTTTGGGCTGATAGAGTAAAGGTTCCCACGGAAATTTCTGTTTCCTTGGCTCCCAGATAGACTTTTCTTTTTCTTCCAATTGTAATTAATAATATCAATCACTGATTATATAGTATTTGATCATATGCATTGATCATATATTAAAACTAGTATTTGATTTTGTGTATGGAAATAAAATTTATATATTACATGTATGTATATGATATTTAATATGTTAAATTAAATAAAGTGTGTATTATATTTTAAAATTTTAAATATATAATGTACAATACAAATATAAATTATTTAACTTGCATATGAAATCTAACCGTCGCCGTCTCTTCTTGCGATTTCTCGGAGCCTTCCCCTAGCTGGGCCTCCTGAGGGCCCCCCGGTGGTACCCTTGTGCTTCGCGGCCCTATTCCGGATGGATCATCATGAGGCAGAGCTATTTCGCTGGTGCAGGCGTCGCCCGTCCCCCGACTAGATCTCGCCACTTTCTTGTTGCTACGACAGCGTGGCGGGGTGCCGTTCTCTTGCAGGCTTTTTTGAGAAGGCCTTTGGGTGTTTTTATCGGAAGGGGGTAGCGATTTCGGTCCTCTTGTCAGGATTCGGGGTGGTGTTTTCTGCCCATCCCCTTTAGGTGTCCCGCCCAGCTTTGGTGCTGGTCGGAGGGGATAACCGGCGAAGTCGGGCTGAGATCTGGGCTCTGGTGGTCTGGGTCAGAGGTATTGTCTTGGATGGTGGTGGGTGATGTGTAGTTCCCGGGTACGGGTTTGGGTGGCTATCTGGTTTGGATCGGTCTTCGGTGTTGGTCCAATTAAGTGTTAGTGGCAGTTTCTGGGTCTGCTTTCGGGGTTGTGGCTTGGTCAGCGTGGATAGGCACCTGTTGGTGTCGCCGTTGTGGACTTGGGTGGTTTCTTTGCTGGGGAAAGGTTATTTTTATTTTTTGCTTAGTTAAGTGGTAGTAGGTTGTTTTTGTGAGGTATTGTTGTGCTTTTGTTTCGTTTAGCTATGTTTGTTTGTGTTTAGGTTTCGATTCTCCCTGTTGGGAGTAGGTTCTTCTCTCGTTGATAGTTTTTTTCTTCTTATATTGTGGGTGAGTTTGTTGTGATGTGTTTAGGTTGGTGTTAGGTTGCCTCGGCTTGTTGCCTTTGGGGTGTCCAATCTATCTCACCAACCCCGTAAAGTACAACGGCTGAAAGCGGGACCTTTCCAGCCTGCCTTTTTTTCTTTTGAACATGGGCGACCACTGGATCCTAACATAACATAAAGGGCGGCAAATCAGTCTATTCATAAAGGAATTGAAGCCAGTGTCTTAACAGAGTCTGTCTAATACTCCTAGTCTGTTCTAACAGAGTCTGTGTCACAGGGTCTAAAAATAGGCTAAAATTTTCGCACCCTTACACCCTATGCGGCCTGGTTTCCCCCTAAACCAGTCAGCCTTTCACCACTTACACTAAACACACAACTTGAATATACGAAGTCGGAATAGTGTATAAGCATGCATACAGCAAACAAGCAATTCCACATGAACAAAAAGCAACAACACAAGGCACACAATTTACGGGCTCCACGCCCAACCAACTATATTTCACTAAGTTGGAATAATTCACCAAGGCTTGCACACAAACTCACGCAGTATCGCTCTCTACCCGCGTGCGTTCAGCTCATGGCCTATATATAAAGGCCCGCAGGCAACATGCGGTTAACAATCCCTAACCGCTTAGGACAAGGTAACCGTTGGGCAGTTTCTTAACTGCCCTTATCCGAAGTCTACTCAGAACAACCGTTCATAAACGATTCAAACGCGCGGAACCGTTCACGCAACGGTCAGATACCGAAGTATCAAGCAACGCCTTCCACGTGTCTTTCATAACCGCTCTGGACACGCGTCGCCCCTTTGATTTATTCAGCCATGCACCGTTGAAGGAATTCCCGCCCAGGCCACGTGGGACATCATAACGACCTATCCACGTGCAACCAGCATGCTCATTCAAATTCCTAACCGTTCCCGCCAACAATTTGGACGTCGCGCCAGCACTCGCGCGCCCATCAACGTACGCCGAATAAAACCCGCGTCTTTAGAGTCGACCTCGGTCTACCTTGCGTGCAAAGGCGCCGTACCGCCTCGCACCATTGCCCACGTATCTTTGCATGGCCATGCACAACCATCAAAGACTCGACTGATCCAATGCTCAGTCTACACCAACTCGGCCCTGCAACCCAGCATCCGCGCCAAGCTAGCCCGGTACCTTTCCCGTGTTGATGTTCTCGTTCCTTTATCCCTCACCGCGCACACGTGCTCGGTTTCTTGACCCTTGGCACATATAAGGGGAATACGCCAAGGTCCAGCTCACTTTCGGGTCCGTTACAAACTTCCCCCGCCTGAGCTCGTCGACGCCCTCGTCGACTGGGGGTTCACCATCCTCTTTGCCTCATACTCCGCAATCTTATCCGTAAATTGCCACAGTTTGGTATTCCGAATCCAGGTAGCGTCCGACTCGGACTCGCCCTTCCACTGGACAAGATAGTCTGTCCGCTAATTCTTCTTACTTTGGCCAAGGGTCATGTGATCCAGAATTTTCTCCATCTCTTTCGTGAAATGATCCCTCACCGCCGGAGGGGCTCGAGTAGAGACGTTGCGACTCGCCTCAATTAAGTCAGGATGATACCTCTTCAAGTAAGATACATGGAACGTAGGATGTACCTTCAAACGGTCAGGTAGCTTCAGCCGATAGGCCACGTTCCCCACTTTGCTCACAATTTCAAAGGGACTCTCGTACTTTGGAATCAGTCCTCGATGGACTGCCTTTGCCGAGATCCTTTTCCACACCTTTGGGGTCAGCTTCAACAATACAAACTCCCCAACTTCAAATTGTACGTCCCGTCGCCCACGGTCCGCAAATTTCTTCATGCGTCGCTGCGCCTTGGCAAGGCTATCACGGGCATCAATCAACAGCTCATGCTGCACCCGGGCATATCGATATGCCGCGGGACATTTGCCACCAGTCTGATGTACCGCTACATCATGCGGTAGCTGAGGTTGTTGTCCATAGACCAGCTCAAATGGACTCATACCGGTCGCCGAGGACTTGTCTAAATTGTAACAGAATTGGGCCATGTCCAACAAATCCAACCAATTATCCTGGCTTGCGGTCACATAGTGCCTTAGGTATTCTTCAAGCAACTGATTCATCCTCTCAGTTTGGCCATCAGTTTGAGGATGATAGGCCGTAGAGAACTTCAGCTCGGTCCCCATCAGATTGAATAGAGTCGTCCAGAACCGTCCCGTGAAACGAGGGTCGCGATCACTCACTATGTCATCGGGCATGCCAAAGTACTTCACTACATGCTTGAAGACAAGCTCAGCAGCAGCGTCTGCTGAGCACGAACCTGGGGCAGCAACGAAAATCCCATACTTTGAGAACCGATCCACAATAACCAACACCGAGGCCATACCCTTTAACTTTGGAAATCCGCTAATGAAATCCAAAGACAGCGACTGAAATGGTTTGTCCGGAATAGGCAAGGGTTGCAACAGGCCCGCCTCTTTCTTCCTTTCGGTCTTGTCTTGCTGGCAAACAAGACACGTCCGGACATAGGACTCAACGTCGTCCAACATTTTCGGCCAATAGAACTTTCTCATCATCAAAGCATACATGCGCTCAACACCGGGATGGCCAGCCCACTGAGAATCATGATAGTCCCTCAGCAGCTCGCGCCTCATTCCTCCCGATGGTATATATATTCTTCGACCTTTGGCGTAGAGTAAGCCGTCCTCTAGCCAATACTTGCGCACTTCACCGGTTGCCACTTGCTCGGTAAGCTTCACATAGACAGGGTCTTTAAGGGATTCAGCACGGACTTTCTCAACAAAGTCAGACTCAACAGTATACAAGGTCAATACATAGGATGCCACAACTTTTCGACTCAAAGCATCGGCAACATCATTGTGTTTCCCCGGCCGATGGACCCAATCAAAGTCAAACTCCCCCAAGAACTCTTGCCACCTTGCCTGCTTTGGGGACAACTTCTTCTGAGTTCGAAAATAGGTATTAGCTACATTGTCCGTAACAACCGTGAACCTTGTTCCCAACAGATAGTGACGCCACATTTCCAAGCAATGGATCACGACCGTCATTTCCTTCTCGTGGGTACTGTATCGGGTCTCAGCATCCTTCAATTTCCGACTTTCAAAGGCAATAGGATGTTTGTCCTGGACCAACACCCCACCAATGGCACGATCTGAAGCATCGACTTGTACCTCGAATGGCTGGTCGAACTTGGCCAACTTCAGTATCGGCTCCTTGGTCACAGCTTGCTTCAGAAAATCAAAGGCATCTTGTTGAGCTTTGTCCCACTCCCAACACCTGTCTTTCTTCAGTAAGTCCGTCAATGGGCTGACAACCTTTGAGTAGCCTTTTATGAATCTTCGATAGTAATTAGCCAAACCCAAGAAAGTGCGCAACTCGGTCACTTTGGTTGGTTCAGGCCAATCAGCAACAGCCCTCACCTTTTTAGGGTCCATGCGAATACTTCCTTGGCTGATGATGTGCCCAAGGAAGGTGATTTCCTCCCGACAGAATTCGCATTTCTCCTTCTTAGCATACAACTGATTTTCCCTCAGCTTTTCAAGCACGCATCGCAAGTGCTTAACATGCTCCCAACCGTCTCAGAATAGATCACAATATCATCCAAGTATACCACCACAAACTTGTCCAAGTACTCGTACAACACATCATTCATCAGATTACTAAACGTAGCAGGGGCATTGGTTAACCCGAAGGGCATCACCAAGAATTCAAACGACCCGTACCTTGTCACGCAGGTGGTCTTTGCCTCGTCACGCGGAGCAATCCGCACCTGCCAGTACCCAGACCTTAGATCAATTTTCGTGTACCACCTTGCTTGAGCCAACTTGTCAAACAGGTCCAAGGCATTTGGAATTGGATATTTATTCTTAATGGTGACTTTGTTCAAGGCCCGATAATCCACGCACATGCGCATCGATCCATCTTGCTTCCGTTGAAACAGGACCGGAGAACCATAAGGGGCTTTCGAAGGTTGTATCAACCCAGCACCAAGTAACTCGTCCAACTGCTTCCTCAATTCGGCCAGCTCGGCTGGTGGCATCCGATATGGAGGTTGTGCAGGAGGTTGAGAACCCGGTTCCAGTTCAATCCGATGGTCACAAGGTCGACGCGGAGGCAATTCCTTAGGCAACTCGGGAGGCATCGTATCCATGAATTCATCAAGTAATTCACCAACAGCATCCGGTACTTCATGAAATACGTCTGGTTTGGTCTCAATCAAAGCCGCAAGGTACGTTGTGTGGCCATGTCTTAGTCCATCGCGGACTTGCAAGGCCGACACCATGCTAGTATCTTTCTTTGGAACAGCAAACCTGACAGCGAGAGCTTGCTCTCTCCCATCAATATCCAACAACAGCTTGCCTTCGTGGGGTTTTGGGAAGACTTTCGCCTTCTTCATGAAATCTATTCCGAGAATCATCGCAAAATCATCAAGAGGGACGATGTGCAACGCACACAATCCTTTCCAAGGCCCAACTTGCATCTCGACTTGGGCCACGCCCTTGATTGGTTCACCTTGAGCATTAACGGTTTTCATCTTTCCCTCGTGAGGCTCGACAGCAAGGCACAACTTACGGGCATACTCCTCGTTCACAAAGCTGTGGGTAGCACCGCAATCCACCAAGGCCATGATATCTTTGTTCCCTATGGCCACCTTGGTATACATCAAGCCGTCACATGCAACAGGGACTTTCTGAACTTGGTTCAACAACAGCATAGAGTTAAGGCCCATGGTACCTTCATTAGCGTCCTTGGACGTGCCCTGCACCACTAGGGCATTTGCTTTGGCATTCAAGCGTTTGGGACAATCGCGCATCCGGTGGTCACCATCACACAAAAAGCAACCGCGGTTAGATCGGTCCACAACCAAGGTTTGGTTCTTGGACTCTCGGGACTTGTTCTCCTTCTTATCACCCGCTTTCTTCTTGTACTTTCCACCATCTTTATGCTTTTTGAATTTCCCCCATTTCTCCTTTGTCGAGTCCTTCTTCTTATGACCCGACTCAGGTCCGCCAACGACTTTGAAATCAACGAGTCGTTCTGCCGCAGCAATAGCCGATGGAAGGTCGCTCACACCTTGCCTTCTCAACTCAGCCTGGGCCCAACCTTGAAGACTGGCCATGAAGTTGAACAATTTATCCTTCTCCGACATTTCAGAGATATCCAACATAACAGAAGTAAATTCCGTCACATAATCCCGTACAGCACCCGTATGCCGTAGGTTACGCAGCGTGTTCCGGGCAATCCAATCTGTGTTACCCGGGAGAAACTGATCCTTCAACAAACCCTTCAATGTATCCCACGTATTGATCCCCTCGCGATTGGCACTGGCATCATCAGACACTCTAGCCCGCCACCAAAGCTTTGCATCCCCAGCCAAGAACATGCTCGCTATTGAAACTTTCTAGTCATCTGGGACTCCGGCAGCATGGAAATAGGTTTCCATATCCCAAAGGAAATTTTCGACTTCCTTTGCATCACGAGATCCGTCAAACGGTTTTGGATCTGGTACACGGGCTTTTGGTGGACGTTGTTCATTGAGAACATTGGCACCAACACGCTTCAGCAAGGCTATATCGTCATTAACCTTGTCAATCTTGTCACGCACCGCATCAGACAGCAAGTTTACCTCATCATTGACAGGGTCAATCTTTCCTTCAACAAATTCGGGTAAGGAGTCTATCGAATTTTTCAATGCTTGCACCATTGCACGAAGATCATCGAGAATATCGTTTGTTGCTCGTAATTTCTCGAAGACCGTCATTTGCAATGGGGTCTGAGGCGGAGGTCCCATCAAATCCTCCAATCTTTGTATCCGTGCTTCGAAGGACAACATCATTTGTCGATCACTCATCGTTTCCCGATTAGCAGTCAGAACCCAACGTGGGCTCTGATACAACTTGTCACAGGGTCTAAAAAAAGGCTAAAATTTTCGCACCCTATGCGGCCTGGTTTCCCCCTAAACCAGTCAGCCTTTCACCACTTACACTAAACACACAACTTGAATATACGAAGTCGGAATAGTGTATAAGCATGCATACAGCAAACAAGCAATCCCACATGAACAAAAAGCAATACCACAAGGCACACAATTTACGGGCTCCACGCCCAACCAACTATATTTCACTAAGTTGGAATAATTCACCAAGGCTTGCACACAAACTCACACGGTATCGCTCTCTACCCGCGTGCGTGCAGCTCATGGCCTATATATAAAGGCCCGCAGGCAACATGCGGTTAACAATCCCTAACCGCTTAGGACAAGGTAACCGTTGGACAGTTTCTTAACTGCCCTTATCCGAAGTCTACTCAGAACAACCGTTCATAAACGATTCAAACGCGCGGAACCGTTCACGCAACGGTCAGATACCGAAGTATCAAGCAACGCCTTCCACGTGTCTTTCATAACCGCTCTGGACACGCGTCGCCCCTTTGATTTATTCAGCCATGCACCGTTGAAGGAATTCCCGCCCAGGCCACGTGGGACATCATAACGACCTATCCACGTGCATCCAGCATGCTCATTCAAATTCCTAACCGTTCCCGCCAACAATTTGGACGTCGCGCCAACACTCGCGCGCCCATCAACGTACGCCGAATAAAACCCGCGTCTTTAGAGTCGACCTCGGTCTACCTTGCGTGCAAAGGCGCCGTACCGCCTCGCACCATTGCCCACGTATCTTTGCATGGCCATGCACAACCATCAAAGACTCGACTGATCCAATGCTCAGTCTACACCAACTCGGCCCTGCAACCCAGCATCCGCGCCAAGCTAGCCCGGTACGTTTCCCGTGTTGATGTTCTCGTTCCCTTATCCCTCA